TTAAAACAAAAAAAAAGCCTACTTATTAGAAGAAAATACAACAGACCAAAAGAAACAATAAAAATTGTTCTAAAAGTGCTATAGAAATCGAATGACCAAATTAGTTAATTAATGAAACAAAGTACAAAGTACAACACTAAAGTCAAACCAAAAGAACCCATCACCACCCGTGCTGACACATTGTGGACCAGCAGCAGCTTCAGCATGGGCTTCAAGGGCAACAAAGTGCATTACAGTAATCCAACCATGAGATGATGAAGTCATGAATCTCTGTCTGAAGTGCCTCCTTTTCCAAAAAGGGTACAACTTGTGAACAAGATGTACCTATCTTGGCCACAGCTTCTACCTACTTACTTGACTTGCTAGGATTTGAGAGGTATAACTGGATTTCATTTGCATATATATGTTAAATTAGAGCGGCATGGTAGCCTAATGGTGAAGACTCTGGAAGGTTGAAAGTTCAATCTTACGTAGCGGCAGATATTTCTTTCCTAGGGCACAAAGAAAAAGAGTTCCTGTGAACTCTGCGTGGTGTCAGGAAGGGCATTGGGTCAGGAAATGCTCAGCTCCATCTAGTCACCCCAAATTAAGGAATTACAAGATTGTAAAAAGGGAGCTTTTTATTCATGTTAAAACAGCAGACTGTGTCATCCAATGGTTTCATACAGATGCTTATCAGCTGGGCAAAAAAGTATAGAACCCAGCACCACCCCAAAAGTGAGGAGCCATGGGTGCTATTTCTCTCTGCCTGTCAACCCTGATCAAAGCTGGACACAGAAATTGAAAAATCACTGTAAATTGGAACCTTCCACTTTAAGCTGGTCCAAAACAATACCATGGTCAACCATATTGAAAGCTACTGAGATATCTGGGAGCACAAGTATAAATGCACTCATCTCAATTCTACCACAGGTATGAACAAATATGACTAATGGAAGCTTGCTATCAAACTCTGGCTTGAAACCCAGTTGAAACAGATAAATTTAATCTATTCCCTCCAGAGCTCACTAAGTCTGACCATCCTCTTCCCCTTCCTTAAAATGGAAACCAGATAATCATTTTCCAGAACTGTTAGTTCCATTAATGTCTTATTTAAATAAGGTATAAGGCTGAAGGAATTACCCCTTCCCTCAAAAAAGCAGATATCAATGCACTGACCAACCTGGAAGTGATCTCCTGAGTGACTTTAACCATCTGGATCTAACAAATTGGTGGCCAAGCTAACTGACTGGAGAATTGATTTTACTTCATTGGAATACAGGACCAAACTCATTCTAGATAAATACAGAAGGCCTGGTCTGGGTACCTTGATTCGACCCATCCACTCAGAGTCCAAGTCAAAGCAAAGTGCTTTTATTATTTTTACAAACAACTCAAGGGGGCAAATATATCCAACACATCATTTTCCTCACAACAACAGCCTGTGAGATGAGTTGGACAAATGAGAGTAACTGGCCTAAAGTCACCCAGCTGGCTTTTACAGCAAAGGCAGGGCTTGAACTCACAATCTCTTACTTTCTAGTCTGGTGCCTTAACCACTCGAACAAACTGGCCTTCCAACTGGCATAAAGATCATCCCATTTAAGATTACTTGGTCCAAACCATATAGCCCTCTTTGTGGCATGTGAAATTCAATGATGGGCCTAGTGTAGTGTCAGAAGTAAAGAAGACCTTGTATGAGTTAGGAAGGCTAAGCAGTCTTCTAAGAATATTGCACACTAATACAGCTGATTCAGTATGTCCAGAAATCACATGAAATAAACAGTAACATAGTTCACAATTTTTGATGATCTTATTTTTCATAAAAATCTGCAGCAGTTGCATACCTCAGTACACAGCTGCCACACATATTTCATGAAAAAAGCATCACTTCTGAGAAATGCCCTTCTCCTGTTATTTTATCCAGCAAAAAAGTCCACTGTCAAATTAATTAGCCTTCATAATCCTTTGACATTATTTCATCCAGCCAGCAAAGAACTATAAAATGGCTGTCTGATTTTGCAGTGTAGAATCCTTAGTAAATAAATTGATATTTTCAAAAGAAACATATTTGATCTCAATAATTTCAAATTAAACAACCTGGGCATTTGTGTAGAATGCAAACTGTGTTTTTCTACTAGAAAGTAACACCAAATATATTTGACTATGTAAATAAATTGTGTTCATAATGCTGAAAATCTCACAAGAAGCTGAAGAGTTTATATTTGTACAAGTGAAATTGTAAGGATTTATTTGGTAAATATGAGGAAAAATGAAATATAGTTTAAAAACTATAATTAAGTTTTTAAATTTTGATCTGTGTGTTTTCTATTGACATTTATTAATAGCATAGTAGAAAAATACTTTATGACAGTAGTTGCATTATATAAATATGATTTGGTTAATTAATGAATTAAATGCAATTGTATTGAATTTTAATTTTATTCTACATCCTAATTGCACTAGTAAGGGTGGCATATCAGAAAGATTTTACATTTATTTCAGTATGAGTTTTGCCTGCTGAGAAACTGGAAAAGTGCACACAAAAAAGAATAATGAAAGGGATATAAGAATAAAAGGTTGTAACTGCATTTATTTTATTTAAACTAATAATAACATATATGCCTCTATTTATTTATACAGTTTATATATTTCAAAAGATGAACTGTACTGGGGATACACACACAGAGAAAAACATATACATACACACATATAGGTAGCACGACAGCTCCCTCAGTACCTGAATGAATCGGCTTATCGGAATCCGTTCCAGTCGGGCTTCAGGCCTGGGTACAGCACGGAAACGGCATTGGTCACATTGGTTGATAATCTCTGGAGGGCTCGGGACAGGGGTTGCTCCTCTGTCCTGGTCCTATAAGACCTCTCAGCGGCTTTTGATACCATCGACCATGGTATCATGCTGCACCGGCTGGAAGAGTTAGGGGTGGGAGGCACCGTGTTGCGATGGTTCTCCTCCTTCCTCTGCGACCAGTCGCAGTCAATGTTGGCAGGGGGGCAGAGATCAACCCCGAGGCCCCTTGTATGTGGGGTGCCACAAGGGTCGGTCCTCTCGCCCCTTCTGTTCAACATTTATGTGAAGCTGCTGGGTGAGATCATCCGTGGTTTTGGGGTGAAGTACCACCAGTACGCTGATGACACCCAGCTGTACATCTCCACCCCGGACCACCCCAATGATGCCTTGAAGTGATGTCCCAGTGCCTGGAGGCTGTACGGATCTGGATGGGGAGGAACAGACTCAGGCTCAACCCATCCAAGACCGAGTGGCTGTGGTTTCCGACATCCCGATATAGTCAGTTGGTGCCATCACTGACTATTGGGGGCGAGTCGTTGGCCCCCATGGAGAGGGTTCACAACCTGGGGGTCCCCCTGGACTCACAGCTGTCTTTAGAAGAGCACTTGACGGCGTTTTATCAGGTTCGCCTGATTCGCCAGTTGCGTCCCTTTCTGGATCAGGACTCGTTAAATACGGTCACTCATGCCCTCGCCTGGACTACTGCAACGATCTCTACATGGGGCTCCCCTTGAGGAGCACCCGGAGGCTCCAGCTGGTCCAGAATGCGGCTGCGCGGGTGGTTATGGGAGCGACGGGGTGCTCCAATGTGACCCCCCTCCTGTGCAAACTGCACTGGCTCCCAATGGTCTTCCGGGTGTGCTTCAAGGTTTTGGTTACCACCTTTAGAGCGCTCCATGGTTTAGGACCGGGGTATCTATGAGACCACCTTCTGCCACCAGTAGCCTCTCACCAACCAGTACGCTCCCATAGAGAGGGGCTCCTCAGGGTGCCGTCGGCTAAACAGTGTCGACTGGCGGCCCCAGGGGGAGAGCCTTCTCTGTGGGGGCATCCGCCATCTGGAATGAGCTTCCCCGGAGATACGGAGGATCCCGGACTTGCGCGCTTTCTGCCATGCCATCAAAACATTTCTTTTCCAGCAGGCCAGAAAAGCTGGCCTAACCTCTCTTTTAAACTGTTTTTAAAATTTTTAAAATTTTTAAAATTTTAATTTGTCTTATAAATTTGGGGTGTTTTAAATTTCGTTGTCCGGACCAATTATTTAATTGTATTTTAATAGTTTTTTAACATTTGTATTATATGTATTTTATTTGGCTGTTCACCGCCCTGAGTCCTTCGGGAGTAGGGTGGTATACAAATTCAATAAATAAATAAATAAATAAATAAATAAATAAATAAATAAATAAATATGTAGAGTTTACCTTTTGAAATACATAAATTACAAGTATATGTGTTTAATGTGTTTAAAATGTGTTTAAATGTGTAAATTAGACAATGAAATATTTTTTATGAATTATCGATTCAGAATAAAACAGTCCATTGAAGGGAATCAATCTATTGTAAAATTTTAAAATAAAGCCTCAAATTAGAAGGATTCTGGTAGGTAGGTAGGTAGGTAGGTAGGTAGGAAGGAAGGAAGGAAGGAAGGAAGGAAGGAAGGAAGGAAGGAAGAAAGAAAGAAAGAAAGAAAGAAAGAAAGAAAGAAAGAAAGAAAGAAAGAAAGAAAGAAAGAAATCTGGTTCACTACAAGGATAATATAAATCTGAGAGCTAGATTTAAATGGAAATAGCCGATCCAATTCAAATGAATCTGACCCTGATTAGATTGGATTCATTTTCAAAAGCTGGAAGTGGGAATAATATTTGAACTATTGAATAATATAATATTCAATAATTTATTGAACATGTGATTGAATTCAGAGACTTTTTATAAAGATCTGTTAGCATTTTCAAGCTATGTTTATTTTGGAAACAGTCCCTAAAATTCTTTTTAAGATTCAGTTTTCAGATTTATAACAATAATTTTTTTAGATAGCAGTCCTGATAAAGTATTAACAGATGTTGAGGAATGTAAGGGGAAGAAATATTTCTAAGTTATGCTTACGCTCTTCTTTCATAAATTTAGTATTTATCTATTTGTTCATCCAAAATGCTGGAATGCATACATGTTTTTAAGTTTGAGAGTTTATTACCACTGTGATGATTCTTACATTCTCTAATCCAAGCAACACTAAAAGTGGGATCGTAGTCATTCCCCCCTGGATCCATTCTTCCAAGGAAACTGTGCCATCATGATCATAATCAATTTCTTCCATCATCTCATGAAGAATCTGTTTTAATTAAAAAAAACATTTGATATATATAATATGTAAAAACTAATAGTTGTTTTACATTAAAATAGAAGACAATATGTCTTGTAAATACCACTAAAATATTTCCATATTAAAAAAATGTAAGAAAGTACCGCTATATTGGTTTCAATTATTTTACTGCAGCCCTATGCAAGTCTATTCAAAATAAATCCAATGATGTACCATAGTTTTCAGAGTATATAAGACACACTTTTCCCCCCTAAATGAGGCTGAAAATTTGGATGCAATTTATACTCCGAATGTAGCCAAAAACATGAGGCACAGATGAGGCGATGATCTGTGGCAATCCCTGCAGCCTGGAGCAGCTGATTGGGGGTATTCTGGGAGGCCGATCCACCTGCCAATCAGCTGCTCATGCTGAATCAGACTGCAATAATGTGCTGAAGCTGACCTGGCTGTTCTCTATTTGCTGCAAGGACTGTCAGAGTTTGCAGCAGCAATCATATCCAGAAAGCACACACAAATAACTGGTTCAGCAAGATTCAATAACTTCTCTTTATATATAATATAAAGTACATATACAATATCAAAAGCAGATTTTCTAACACAAGCAAAACACAAGCAGAGGAGAGGAGTTTCAGTTTCAGTTTTAGTTTCAGAGATCAGCACAGCATGCAGCTTTAGAACAGTTTAGCTAAGCCACGCCCAAGCTACTTGCTGTCTCCTTCTTTGTTGGTCACACAGCAAATACTGTTTCAGTTTCCAAATAGCCTCTATTTTCCTCCCCAAAAACTAAGGTGCTTCTTATACTCTGGAGCGTCTTATACTCCGAAAAATACAGTACACTTTCTAACCTTAATTTTATTTTAATGTTCTAATACAGCTTGAAAATATAGCACTAAATAGATTGTATCATCCACAGGTGTTTGGTGGGGAACAAGATTTTATAGACAAGAATATGTGATCCTGGGGCAAGAAAACTCATTCTACATGAGTTGGCATTCTCATATAATTTCAGCCTATGTGTACCTGTAAAATCAAAACAAATTGCATGATGCCACCTGAAACAGTTTGCCTAATTCTGATGTAGCAGTATTTATTTAAATACTACCTCTGAAATTAAAAGAGATTTTATTTGAAGAAATATGATTTAAAAAACCTTAAATACTTTCAAAATATTTACTGTATACAATATTTATATACTTAATATTAGCAGGGGAAAAGTAATTTTCAAATAAAATTAAAGTGGGAATTCTGCCTTGATGTTATTTTACCACACCCAAATTCACCTTAGATGCTGAAAAAATAAACTGAATGGCAAAATATGTTGTAAATATGTCTTTCTTAATCTTTTTTTTAATATTATTTTTTTATTTTAATACAAACATTCCATCATTCATTAAACAGTGTGTTGTCTGAGTACAAATTTCTTGTGTCATCACAGTTACCAGCATATTCATTGTTTATATCTACTTTTATTTTAATAGTAATACTTAATACTTAACATATCTATTGTATCAATAGATTGTATGGTATCAATGGTTAGAGAATAAATATGAAAGTAAAGTAAAGATAAATAAATTAAGAAGAGAAATGTTACAATGTCTTTCTTAATCTGTGATAAAGTCAAGAATCATTCAATAAATTTCATGCAAGGTGTCCTGCCCATCATCTGTGACAATTCTGCATGGTTAATATATAACAATACTAGCTGGATACTTGTGCTTCGCTATAAAACTATGTGATCGGGCTTGATAAATTGACACTTAAATCTTGAAAATTAATGAGTAGTTACGAAAGGCCTTGATAAATTGACACTTAAAGCTTGAAAATTAATGAGTTGTTAAAAAAGGTACTGTATTATTTCAGTAGAGATGGTAAACTAAGTTTCTGTTACAGATTAAGTTTCTGTTAACAGATTAATCTGTTACAGATTACACTTTCTGTTAAGACATTATTGAAAGTCTAACAACAATAAAATAGATGGATTTAAGCCCTTTAATCCCACCAGCAACCATGGCTTTTTTGTCTACATAACCAGGCTAATAACTTGCATAGCATACAGTTTCAATTTTTCCCTCAGATGAATTGCTCTGGACCTCCCTGTAAACAACATTCCTGGTTTTGCTCTGTGGCTGGATGATGACTTGGCTGTGAGGTAAACTGACTCTAGAGCACACCACATACAACTGGCCATGGGAGAAACAGTCACTCCTCAGATGCACACCAGCCACTTTCAAAGTCTGTCCCTGTGCCTTATTGATGGTGATGGCATAGCACACCTTAACGGGAAATTGTAGCGGTTTGAACTCGAAGTGATGGTCTGATGGGATCAGAGGAATTTGGGGTATGAAAATGGTTTCTCTCTGATTGATGACTGTGAAAATCATAGCTTTGATTATGTGTTGTACAGAGTCTTCACCAGTGGTGAAATCCAAATTTTTTTACTACCGGTTCTGTGGGTGTGGCTTGGTGGGCGTGGTGTGGCTTGGTGGGCATGGCAAGGAAAGGATATTGCAAAATCTCCATTCCCATCCCACCCTGGGCCAGCCAGAGGTGGTATTTGCCAGTTCTCCGAACTACTCAAAATTTCCACTACTGGTTCTACGAACTGCTCAAAATTTCCCTACCAGTTCTCCAGAACCTGTCAGAACCTGCTGGATTTCACTCCTGGTCTTCACCTGAAGCCTGGTGCCATTGCACAGTTTCGGAGGGGTTAGATTGCATAACAGCATGATTGGAATGCCAGCCTTGAGGATAGAGAATGACAAAGTAATCCTAGTGGGTTGAGAGTGTGCAAGAACTCCACAGGGTAATGTACAGTATCCTCAATCTCCATTACCGAGTCCACAGATTCATATTTCATATCCTCCATGGACAGCTTCTTCAGCAGAAAGTTGATGATGTTGGCTGAGTCGAGAGAATAGCTCTTTCCCTCAGCCATGAAGCGCAATCTATTCCAGCCTGATGAATGTTGGGGTATATTCTGTCAGTCAAGCTATCAGATCTCTCACAACATGACAAAGGTTACTTGGAATAGTTATTCTTCCAAAAGCTTGCCATCACCAATATCAAGTAATAAATTGGAAAACTCTTCTGCCCTCAAATCATGTTGAAGGTGGACACACATGTTAACTCTCAAAGACAGGACTCTGACATTAGGCCATAAGATGGATGACTTGAGACAGGCCTTGACTTCATCTGCACATGTTCTTCGTAGCACAACAGACAACGTCTGTCTGAAGTCACCAGCCAAAAGCACCGTAACTCCACCCATAAGATGGTTGCTGCACCTAATGTCGTGAAGCGCCCTATTTAGAGCCTCAATACTTCCTTTGTGAGTCATGGTGCACTCATTCCACATGATAACTTTAGTTCTCAAAGCACCTGAGCCATGTCACTTTGCTTAGAGATGTTACAAAGTGCAGATTCAGAATGATTCAGGTTGAAAGGTAACTTGAGTGAGCCATCTTGCCTCCGTCGATCAAGGTAGCTGCAATTCCTGAGGAAGCAACAGCAAAGGCAATATTGGCCAGCAACAGATTGATCAAGAACATTTTGCCAGTGCCAGCAGGAGACAGAGGTAATGGAATGTGAGGCAACTGGCAGTTGGAACAGAGTTCTTTTTAGGTGGAGAGGGGGAGTAGAATGTCTAGTTCCTTAGCATCAGTGCATGTTAATATAAGGCAACTGGCAGTTGGGACAGAGTTTCTTTCAGGTGGGAAGATGAGTAGACCATCTAACTCCTTAGCATCAGAGCGTGTTAATATAATACTGTATATGAAATACTAATGATCTGATGGTCATTTTGAAAAATCCTTTTTTAGCAAGCACCTACAAGCCAAGAGGAACATATGTGCCAAATTTCAAGTTTGTAGGCTTTACAGTTCTGGAGATTTCCTGATGTGTGAGTGGTATTTGACTTTTTTATATATAGATGAAAAAATCAGTATAAAGATTTAGAATGAATTGTAACCCTCATTAAGTGCTCTGGCATAAAGTCAGTATATGCGTATCATTTGTAAAAAACTAATCAAATAAAATTGTTTAATCCTGTTTACTACATTCAGCAACTGATCCGCAAACTTTCAACTAGAAATTTCTTGAATGCTTGTTCTGCTTTGTTCTCCTTATTAATATAATCCATTTTATTTTAAGAAAATAAATTCTGTTATTGATTGATCTAAACAATACTATATTTGTCATAGTTTTCTTTATATTGGTGACACTTCTTTGACTATTCATATATATTTATCTTCAATCTTCAGGCTTAAATATGATTCCAGTCTTTTGTAATCCATTTCAACATTGAAGAAACCAAACAAAGCTGCTACAAACATACTATTATTTTAATCAAATTATATAGAACAGTTCTTTGATATTTCCATTGCTAACCAAATAAATGACCTGCCATGATGCTTACTGGACTGAGTTCAGTGACATCCCATTCAAGATATTCTGCAACATGCATCATTTGAGTAATGATGTTTTCAAGTTCCTGGACATGAAAGCAAAACACAAAGAATCTTGTTAATTAAAAGTCCTTTTTTTTTGTAATGAATTAAAGTTGTAAAAGTAGAAGCTACACATACATCTTGCTGTTTTACATACAATATGATATATACCCTCTGGAATTGCAGTTTATGGCAATAGAAAAATACAATAAATACACAATATTGTTTTCTTCCAAAATACATTTTTTGAAACACCAGCTGGGAATATGTGATAAATATAACTTTATTCTTGGAAGTCTATTTAAATGAAATATGTATACTTATGTTATACTATACTAATCATATAAAAAGAAAAAAGAAAACTTTTAAGTACTTTAGAAAGTAATTAATATTAGGATGCTGTCTTTTTTTTAATCATCACATCATGGTTCCAGACTAATTTGGTCTTTCATCTTGCTGAATTTAGTGAAACCAATTAATAGAAGTCTCTAATTACAAAATTATGAGATCCCCAGAGAGATTCCCCTAACACTTACATGGTGAATTTTTAGGTGTTAGTCAAAGACAATCTAATATTTAGATTTTTAAATCCTTTTTGTATATCCTATATTGTGGTATATTTCTATGATAGTTCTGTGATGTTTGCTTTAATATGACTATTTTGATTGCTGCTTTTATCTGATGTTTTGTTTTGGTATTTTGCTTTTAATGTGTTTTGAATTTTAATTCATTTTTTTATTGTAGATGGCAATATCGGCTATAAGCTTAAAAATAAATTGTTGTCATCAACAAGTGCTGTTAATTTAAGTTAGAACTAGGATAGGATAGGATGAGGGATGGGATGGGATGGGATGGGATGGGATGGGATGGGATGGGATGGTACGGGACGGGACGGGACGGGACAGGACAGGACAGAACAGAACAGAACAGAATAACAGATTTGGAAAGGACCTTGGAGTCTTCTAGTCCAATCCCCTGCTTAGGCGGGAAACCCTACACCACTTCAGACAAATGGTTAGCCAGCATCTTCTTAAAAACTTCCAGTGTTGGAGCATTCACAACTTCTGGAGGCAAGTTGTTCCACTGATTAATTGTTCTAACTGTCAGGAAATTTCTCCTTAGTTCTAAGTTGCTTCTCTCCTTGATTAGTTTCCACCCATTGCTTTTTGTCCTAGCCTCAGGTGCTTTGGAGAATTAAAAAAAAAAGATTAAAAAAATATCAGAGATACAAGCAACCCAGCAACCCAGTGCAATGATCACCCAAAGGGAAATCAGTGCAGGAAGTCATAACTGCAGCTGTATCTTCACTAAATCAGAATGGAACACTTGAAATTGTTCACATTGAGGAGCTTGAAATGGAAGACAAACATTATTTTTGAATCGCAGCTGGGAAACAGAAGTAGCGTTTAGCTGAGAGTGGGAAGAATACAGCATTGTTCCTGCTCTCTGGAACAGGTGGATAACCATTCTGGCAATGGTAAAAAGAAATGCAAACTGTATAGCTATTCCCCAATGCAACTTCAAAAACTACATCTTATTAAACTGTTTATTGTATTTCCAGTGTATACTTCCTGATTTGTTATTTTAATATTGATTGTCTGGTCTTGTGGTTAAGATATCAGGCTAGAAACTGGGAGATTGTGAGTTCTAGTCCTACTTTAGGCATGCCCAACTGGCTGGATGACTTTGGGTCAGACACTATCTCAGCCCAACTCACCTCACAAGATTGTGGTTGTGGGGAAAATAAGAAGAGGAAGGAGTATTAGGTATGTTTGCCACCTTGAATTATTTATAAAAATAATCAAAGTACAATAATAAATAAATATTAAAGTATGCTGTTTTAATTAATAAAATTACCGAACTATCCAGGTAGCCGTTTCCATCTGTGTCATACAAGCGAAACATAACTAAAGAGAAATAACATATTAAAATCATTTTGTGGTAAAGAATTAAAACCATATTTCTAAGTAATATAGCAACTACCACATAAGAAATAAATTCTGAGAAATAAATGATGCTAACAGAAAAAGTAACACATATTGTCTTTCTATTCATCACCACTTTGTAGTAATGTAGAGATTCAGTCCTAAGATCCAGTCTTTGATTTTAACTGAGACAGAATTGTTGGAAAAATACATGTACATACAATTTCTCTTTAGTTTTCAGGAATATATGAAAATTATTTAATTAGTAATTAAATAGCAAATTCTAAGTTGGTAAAATCTCGAGTATTTCAAAGGAAGAGAATGGATTATTGCAACGAGCTAACAATTTTTTCCTCATAGAATACATCACACTGTCATAAAAGTGTATATGTTTTTAAATAATATCTAAATAGGATGATCACGAAAAGAAACAAGTATGTATTCTTTTGCTCACATATTACTTGCATCTAATATTATCCAACTGATATTATTTATTGTTTAAAATTTAGATGATAAAAATCTGGTTTGCACAAACCGATCTTAATATTTACATATTTGTATTAAAGATAGAATAGAATAGAATTTAATAATTTAATAGAATAGAATAGAATAGAATAGAATAGAATAGAATAGAATAGAATAGAATAGAATAGAATAGAATAGAATAGAATAGAATACTAGATTACTACTCTGCTCAGAAAATATACTGTTTCAAATCTGATCTCTCACCTTGCAATGGAACCAAATATCCAGCAGATAGAGCCTACTTTCTATATCTTAGCATACATAATTATAAATTATAAATATTATATGTTGCTGCTTTAATGTACAATGATGTCTTAGAAAAGTTATGCATTTCAGAACTTAGTGAATGGGACATACTTTTTGCTGTTGCTTAGTTGTTCTGATGATTTGTGAGGCAATGAACTATATTTGTCATGGTGGTTTGTCAATAACTCAATAACGTATCATGACATTTTGTCTTCTTTTTAATTTCTTTGGATTTTTCTAAATTTCGGAGCCTTCACTAAAGATTTTTGTTTCTACATTATGTGTCCAAAATAATTAAGTATTAGCATCATTATTAAAGCTTTCAGTAAGCTGTATAGATATAATTCAAGTATTGAGCAATTTGTATTTGTTGTCCAAGGCAAGAACAACAATCTTCTCCAGCATCATAGTTCAAAGATATCAATCTTTCTTTATGCAGCCTTTCTTATAGGCCAGTACTCATAGCCATATATTATGACTGGAAAAACTACGGCCTTGACAAAAGCTAGCTTTTTTTGGTGATATAATTTATCTACACTTCAATATGGAATCTAAACAAAACTAGAAGTATTATGCATTTTATTTCAGTATACAATGAATGGATGCAATTTTTGTACCATTATATATTTAATTTTTTCATGGGTTTAATGGGAAAGAGAAATGTAGGCATTCATAACTTATTATAAATGGGACCACCATGCTGCTTAATATTTTATGGATAAAGATGATGGATTACAGGCCTGGTTTTCTTGTTTGTGATTTTATTATAGTTGCAGGGTAGCCAGTTTAATGTTTAACAAGATGGGAGCCATATAAAACTTTTAATAATAAATAAATCCACAAATAGTGACTTGATTAAGTTCAAATACTAAACACATTTCATGGATTTATGTTTGCTCTGTCATAATAAAAATGTTGGTCTGTATAGTTCACTTTTTCTCTTCTAAATAATATATGAAATTCTGCAATAGCAGTAACATAATATTTTTACAAGGTTTTTTAGGGGTTTTATTTAAATTGTTCCCATTTTACTATGTTAAAATGAAACCGGAACAGCATGCAGAAAAAGGAGTAGCAGAACCTGGAGGAACCCCCATGTTCTGCCACTCCTTCTACCAACACAGCATAATTAATAATCCAGGTATCATAATTGTACCTGTGCATGATCAGACATTGATAACTGCACAGCTGCATATTGAAAACAACTGAAACATATTAGTATTCCAAATTTAACTTTTTGGTGAAAAAATGAAAACATGTTTCAGAATATTTCTAGACATTAAAATAAAAATGAATATTAATTACAATGGCCATTTTTCCTATGTTTACTAAATCAAAGCCATTTCAGAATATTGGAGAAAACTGTTAGTTCATCATGCCGCTGACAAATTTCACAAAAGCATTTTGTACTATGAAACATTCTTGACAACCAATAGAGGCATGCAAGTTATTTGACCGTCAAAGCTAAATAGAAGTTGAATACAATAAATTTATTCCTTGAAAAAATGTTAAACTCTAAGGATACAACGTAATAATCTAGAAGACAGATCTAATGAACTCAATGGAATTGACTTCTAAACATATTTTATTTATTTATTTATTTTTAAATTTGTATACCGCCCTTCTCCCTGAGGACTCAGGGCAGTGAACAGCCAAGTAAAAACATAAACTACAAACATTAAAATACAATTAAAAAGATATATATAAATTTGACCCCATGATTAAAAACAATAACAGACAATTAAAAACATTTTAAAAAGTGTTAGGCCAGCCTGGCTTGCTGGAAAAAGAAGGTTTTAAGGGCACGGCGGAAGGCACAGAGGTCTTATAGATAATATATAGATAACATATAGATAATATTAATTAATTAATTAACTTCTATAGCCTGACAAGTAAACCAGTGATCCTGGGTGCCTTACAATTCTAAAATTATATTCTCTCAAATGACTAAAACTTATTTTAATTTTTAAAGTTATGACAATATGAGATTGTTTTATATAAAATACATACATTCTAATTTGTCTTCAGGTCTCCCTCTTTCAAGAAGGGAAAGATAACAAACAATATCTTTCAATTGGATTACTTCTGGTATGTGCATTCTGGAAAGATGTTGAGGATGTGTAGTTATGCTTTTAGGAATTCGCAAACCTGAAATAATATTCATATTGTTGATTTATATAACAAGAAACAAAATATTTGAAACATCTCACCTGCCCATATTTCTGATATCATATATAGAACATTTTTTTCTCTCTGTTGCAATTGAGAAAATTGACATCATTTTGCACAAAAAGTAATTCAAGGTGATAAAGTGGGCTATTTATTTTTAAATCAAATTTATATAGTGAACTATTTTACAAAAAATGATTCAGGGCACTGCACAACATTCAGATAAAACAATAATTATTAAAAAACCAGATATAACATTTAAAAGTACAAATCAATAAATATCATAAAAAACAAAAATACAAACCATAGGAAAAAGGGAATAAGAATATCAAGGTTAGAGTTAGGGTTAATAAATAACAGATCTTGAGAGCCTTTTGAAATATTGAAATCGATGAAGCTAATCTAATTTCTAAGCTGCCCACAATCACTGAGCATGAGTTGAGCGGATATATAAATTTTCTTAAATAGATAAATAATTCTCATGAGAAGGATGTTCCTTAATGTGGGCACCGTGGCAGAGAAATAAATCTTCTGGGACCCACCAACTATAGGTCCTTAGCAGACAGTATCTAAAGCATGCCTTCTTTGCCAGATGTAAAGAGGTTTGGCTAATGTTATCAGGGAGATGTGATTGCTCAGATAACCTGATCCCATGCCATGAAGAATATAAAAAGTTAAAACCTTGAATTGGACTAGAGAGCAATTGCAGTTCACAGAGCCATGAACATGCCCTGTTCTAGAGTGCAAATAACTGCCTGTGCCACTGTAGTCCACACCAATTGCAACTTCAGGATCTTGGATCTTCAAGGGCAGTCCCATTACAGTACATGGAGTAGTCCGGTCTGGAAGTGACTGGGACATGAATGATTGTAAGAATTATTGTAAGAAGGACCTATCGATCCAGCTAGCATCTCTAATCCATGTTTGGTTGAGTTTATTTTTTATTGAGTGCCAATGACACTCTGGATGTATTTTCTCTCATTTCATCTGCCTCAGCTCCTCTGTAAATCACTGAGAGGAAAGAGATCCGACTGGAATAATTGGGTCCAAGGCATTAGCCACTGTTTTATTTCAATACATATTTCATTACTAGGAGTGTAAGTACTATTGTATTCAATTATCTAAAATTCTAAGCACATTTATAACAGAAAGTGAAATTATCTCATTTTCATCATATACTGTACAGCAACATTTTCTGCTTACATTCAGATGCTACTTTTAACATCCACAATAATGTTTGTTGAGCACATTTCTAGATAAAGAAATTATAGCACAATATCATTAATAATAATTTGTCTGATTTTTTTCAGTTATTTTTATAAGATGCTTTCATTCTCAATTTATCACTCTTCTTCAATTGTTTAAATACAGCTTCTTGCTGTACTCTGAGGAATCAATCCAAATGTCCAAATATTCTTGAACTGAATATGATCCAAACTTAATGTCATAATTATATTTATAAAAAAACTAAAGCACTAAGCTAAATAAATTAGTTTCCAGTTGTTTTAATGGGCTTTGAATTGAAAATAACTAAGATACCAGATGATGGTTGAAAAAGAATATCTAAATAATAACTTAGCAATATATTTAAATACAATCAGTTCTTATTTTTATAAAAAATATCCTTGAAACTGTGGTCTCTATGAATATAAAAACAATTGAGAAATGTATAGGGAATAACAACCACAGTTTATTAAAGAATGTTCAATAAATGTCTAAGATCAACTTAAATCTTATACATGAAAGTGTAATGGGTCTATTCTCATTTGAAAAATTACTTTGAAAAAAGAGATCTGGAAGAGTTAATAGAGCTGAGTCTTTTAATCTTTCTGTTTGCCAACTTTTTCTCTACTCAAATATTCCTGTGATATTTGTCTATAGACTTCATAATTTATTCCCTTTTCTAAAAGTGCTATTTTTCTCCCATTCCTACTAAAAGAATTAAATCATTACAAAAGAATGAAAAGACATTAAGGATTATTAAAGGCTTTCTATTAAGTCTCAGAACAAGTGGTAGGTCCATTCAAGGCAATCAAACTCACCTCCTGGAAGGAATGGTGATTTATTCTTTACCAATGGACTGCTGTGAGGAGCTTTGTTTCCAAAAGATACAAAGAGATGTTCACAAAATTCATCTGGTAAATCAGCTTCAAGAAAGGTCTTCATAAATAACTTGAAACCTTCTAAATCAATTTTCTGCAAACAAAAATAGATAATTATGCCTGCGGATTCAGGTTAAACATTTAAATATACATATTGTAACAGAAACTCTCAATTCATATTTTAGATAATTCAGGGTTTCAAATCCCCCCCCTTCAAATACATACAATAGTTGTCATAGTTAGTTCTGAAACTAGGAGCAAAACAATTCAGCACCTTCAAGAAGACATTGAATTCACTCACTTCTTTGCTTACTAATTAATAAGTTTACTAATTAATCAGTATTAATTACTGATTTACTAGAAATTAAGAACCTTCCGAAGAATATTTTTTATTATGCTGGGAGAAAATGCTACCCTGGATGAAAGAAGTTCCATGTAAGTCAAAAGATTAAAAAGAAAAGCTTTAATTTTGGGGAAACAGAAGAAGGGAGAATAGAACGTAGATTGGAAGGGGCTTCAATAAATATTTATTGTGAGTGTTTAAAATTTCATAAAAGAATATATGAAGACTTTTGAATTAACTATATGAAATCTTCCCATGGGATTTTCATGGATTGAAAAAAAATGACATGAGAGAACTTTGAACCTTGACTAGAGGGAACCAGAAAAAAACAAGTATAATTAAGAAGAAGTAATTAATAAAATGGAGCAATAATATTTGACCACGGAAGAAATTAATTTATTTATCATGAGAATAAACTATTCAGAAATTACTTACAAGATCATCTGATACTATAACAGAAAATATAAAAGAGCACAGTAGTGGAATCTAAAATTTCACTACTGTTACTACCGGTTCTATGGGCGTGGCTTGGTGGGGGGGTAATGTGAGTGGGTGGGCATAGCTAACTTTTTTTTTAACTTTTAAAACCATTTTTTCTACAACCTCTTTGGCGAAGAGGTTGTAAAAAAATGCTTTTAAATACCTCTGACGATCCCAGCTGAGTTGCCTGATCGGCAGAGACTTTTTTCCTTTTAAAAGTCTCTGCTGATCAGGCAACTCAGCTAGGATCATCAGAAGCTTTTAAAAGCATTTTTTTTTACAATCTCTTTAGCCGAAAAACAGTTTGTAGAAAAAAAGTTTTTTTTTTTTAAAAAAAAGCCTCTGCCTATCAGGCAACTCAGCTGGGATTGTTAGAGGTTTTTAAAAGCATTTTTTTCCCTACAATCTCCTGGGCTGAAGAGGTTGTAGAAAAAATGCTTTTAAAAGCCTCTAACAATCCCAGCTGAGCCGCACGATCATCAGAGGCTTTTTTTTTTTACTTTTAAAAGCATTTTTTCTGCCAAACAAGTTGTAGAAACAATGTTTTTAAAAATAATTTAAAAAGCCTCTGATGATCGCACGGCTTAGCTGGGCATGGGATTTTTGCTACCGGTTCTCGGAACCACTCACCTCCATCGCTACCGGATCAGGCGATCCGGTCCAAACCAGGAGCATTTCACCCCTGGAAGAGCACAAGATTTTACAGGATAAAACTGAGCCCAGATTGAACTTGGACTTCTAAAAAATGCCAGATTATAAAAATGATATGGAAAATGTTACAGTGAATCCAGAAATGGATTTTAAAATTCAGGGGAAATAATGACACAATGGATTTACAAATGAAACCAGCTGATATATTAATAGTTAAAAGCAACATCCAAATAATAATTAGAATAATGGTTCAGAAAGCTTTCTTATTTTGGATACAAAAGGATTCTAAAATGAGACAAAATCAAAATGATAAGAAATCTTCTTATGGGCATGGTGAAAGATCAATCTGTTTAAAAGTGAATAGAAGGACCATAAAGTGAATTTATTTGAATAGGGTTAAAATATATATGATGTTGCTTGTGGTAACTAGCTTTTTTATCTTTATCTTATAGATAAAGTTTTATCTATAAACTTTAATAAAACTGATATTTAAAAAAACAAAAATGTGGAGACATAAGCAAAGTTAAAGCATACATGAACTAAAACAAACATAAAAACTCTTACTGATATTGTGTAGCTGTATTTTAATTTGACTCTCCTAAATATCTTTGATAGCCAGTTTGATCTAGTGGTTAAAGTACCAGGCTAGTCAGCAGAAGGCTATGAATTCAAATTCTGCCTTAGTGATGAAAACTAATTGGCTGGTTTTGGGCCAGCCAGTTATTTGTGAAAATAATATAGGCAAGATACAAATAAATAAATCTCTCTCCCTAAGAGATATATGTTTTCATATTTACCTATATTTCTTTTAGATGAAGAGTTCTTAAGTCATTGGAGATCCGTGCATAATTTATACATTAAAATTACAAGTTTATTTTTACAAATCTGTAGTTTAGCTTACAGAACTCTTGAAGACAATAGGAATTAATCCTCTTCATTCTTAACTAAAGCTAAGCAAAAAAAGAAAGGGAAGTTCCTTGGAGAAGCAGTTTACTTTTCATTCTGTAATCTGGGTTTAACTCATTGAAGGATGTAGAACCAGTTTCATCTGGTGATTAGGACACCAGGCAAAACATTTGAAGATGTATGCTCTAGTCTTGCCTTAACCATTAAAAACCAGCTGAGTGACTTTGGGCCAATCACTCTCTCTCATTCCAATTTACCTGACAGGATTATTCTTGTGGGGGAAATAGGAGAAAAAAGTACAACCTTGTTCATTGCCTTGAATTGTTTATATACATATTGATATAAATAATAAGGATTGGGCTATAAATTAAATAAACTGTGAATACCCAAAATAGAGCTGTAAGATGTATTGTCCTTTTTTTCTGTCGGTTTCAAATCCACACACACACACACACACACACACAACACATACACAAACACGGTTTCTAGTTTGTTTGTTTTTTAAGATTTGTATATGTTTCTTTCAGACTGAATTTGCTTCACTTTCTTCCCCATATAATTTCAGAATTTGTCTTATTTCTTTCATTCCATGTCATTATTGCTTCTTTAGGCTGCTGATCTTCTCCACTATACACTATTTGCTGTCTTTTTGCTTTCTACTTAATACTTTTTATGCCGTTCCAATTATTAATGTCGCTTGCATGCAAAATTACGTCTCCTTCATTTTTCAGAGATGTTTTCAGCCAAATGGCAGGGATTTCTCAATTTATCAAAATACAGAGGTACAGAGAATATTTGTCAATCCTAGGGACAACAAAATCACAGTACAAAGAATGTTGTTTCCAGGCCATTTTTGAATATTAATCATATGCTTTCTTCATACTATATATTTTGTAATAAAAAAGTGCACTAAGTATCAAATTTATTTACTTTTTCTTTATCTTCACTATCTTTCTTTTCTATCAACTTTCATTATACCTACCATGTTTCTCTGAAAACACGACCCACCTCAATAATAAGGCCAACCCTAATTTTTTGGGGGTGGGCCTAATATTACCCCTACCCCAAAAATAAGCCCAGGGGATGGGCATGGCCAGCACAAGTGGCAGTGCAGGCATGGGGGAGGCAACTGTCCGACTGCAACTGCAGCCCGCTGGCCCCTTGGGACAGCACAAATACTGCTTTTGCCCTTCTCTTTCTGGGCACAGTGCTTCTGCTTATTGGGCCGCTTCCCTGAAGCTGGCAGCTCTGCAGCCAGCTGCTTTGCTTTTTCCCTCTTTTTGGGAGGCTGGTGGGAGGATTTTTGGCGAATGGGTGGAAAATGGGGAGTCTGTGCTGAGCTTGAGGAATGGATGACAGGCAGGAAAATCCACTTCCCCATTTTCCTCCCATTCGCCAAAAAGGCTCCATTCCGAATGCTGAATGTTTGGAATGGAGGCGACGGTGCATCCATGGCACGTCCAGCTCACCGAGTCTGGCCTACTGCATCTCAAAAAAAGTAAGACCAGCTTAAAAATAAGCCCAAGTGCTTATTTTCAAGTCTAAATATAATACTATACTAAAATATAGTACAGATGTCATGCAACAAGACATCTGTATGAAGATTATTAACCAATAAATATATAAATATGAAAGAAGAACATATAAAATAAATCTACATAAATTAATAGCATTGATCAGGTATATCAGTTAACACATATTCTAGATATGCTTACTTGTGTAAGAATATCTTGCTTCTGGAGTGCAGGAAAAGAAAGGAAATATTTTTTGATCAAATTATACAGTCAAAAAATTACCTCAGACTTATTCTTAGAACTAGCCTTTTTTGCTGAAATTTTAATTTCATTACTAACTATCTTAGAAAGGAATCATGCAATAAAAAAGCTTCCAGTATTAATAAAATTGCAAAGGAATGGTTTTAGCAAATAGCTGTAGTAACCAATAATATCAGTTTAGAATTTAGATGCACAATTTAGACACCATATAAATCTTTATTTGACTCAGATTTGATCCGTCTTAGATAAAGTTCTATTAGACAGTTAACTTTTTTTCCATAGATTGGCAGTGTACCAAAGATACTTTATTTTGTTTATTATTTTTAATTTATTTTAAACATTTATATAGCCATCCATCTTCCAACTAACTCTGGGTGGCTTACGATCAAAAGTTACAACAACATATAAAATTATATTAACATTACAAAACTAAGCAGATTGAAGAATTAAAAACAATAAAAATCTGGCACCAAGTCAATCTTCTACTGCGTAATTATCCAATCTTATTCCAGCACTTTGGGGGATGGGGAGGGGGAAGAAGAGGCCAGGTCTTCTAAGCTTAATGGAAGGCTAAGAGAGAGGATAGAAGCCTGCTAAATTTTAGGGGGCAGACTCTTTCATAGTGCAGGCAGGAACTTTTATTTTAATTAAAGTAAAAGGCACACCTCCTAGTTTCTATTAGATGATAAAACTTAGAAAAAGAACAATGAGAATGCTTATCCTGTCTGGTCTGGTATGATGGATAATGTCCTTAGCGAAAGACATCTCCCAGATATCTCAATAATGTTCTCAACATTTTAAGAATAACATTTAATTGCAGCATGAAACCAAGAATTAATAAATTTATCAAGTGGGACATTTTATCTACAGATTGCCACTTACACATTACCACTCTAAGAATTGGGGTATTAATACAGCATGAGCAGTCAGCTGAAATAAAATGTCTTATTGATAATGTTTATTTGCTTATAGTGAAATCATTTGAATAAACATGAACACTCCAGTAACTTCTGGAGCACAGCACAGGTGTTTGATTTAAATATATGAGGGTTAATCCATCTGGAAGGAACTGTTAATATGTGCTAGTTATGTATATAATGATTGCAGAGGGCATGAAAATAATGGAGTGAATTTCTAGCAACAAGAAAAATGTAACAAATTAGATAAGAAAGAAAAATTACCCCTTCAGGATTATATTTTGCTAGCACACCATTGCCATGGAATTCTTCTAAAACATCCTTAATTTTCTTTGTTGAATCTGTAAAAATAGTGTTGGAAGTCTTTTACTTTTTGAAACAAGCTGGCTTCCTAATCAAATAGCATTTATTTTTTGGCTCCATGACTAATAATTTAATATACTATTTTCACCAGAACATTGTCTACTTCATCCCAATTGTAATATTGCCTTTCAGAACATAAATCTCATTAATTTTATTCACTATGCCATTGGAATATTGCAAATTTTAATTTGTAATTGCAATTTAATAAATAAATAAATGTTAACAACATGTAAGACACTCCATTCCAAAACTACCTTGTTAAAATTCTCTTCTTCTTGAACTAGTTAGATTTTGAAGGAGCATGAAATTAAATCTTAGAATTTTTTAATATCTAAAATGTTGTTGAATTCTACATAAGCAATTAAGATGCATATTCTTGGTATTATAATGAAATTATCTATCTGGGATTTATAAAAAGAAATCCATATTTAAAATCTACACACAAACAAAGCATTCTGATCCACCCGTATGACTCAACCTGCTTTGAAATTGCAAAAGCACTTTTTAAAAACGCACTTGCCTTAACAATGGGGCATTTCATCTTTTCTAACAAACTCTTTTATAAATAAAAGTAAAAAGTAAAAGTAAAAAGTAAAAGTATAAATAAAAGTAAAATAGCATATATAAAAGCACATATAAACTTCCATGGAAAATCTGTTCAGATTAATGTTCCCAAGATTTTCCACCATGCAATATAATAGCAGCCCCCAATATTTCTGGCATCAGGGACCGGTTTCATGGAAGACAATTTTTCCATGGACCAGTGGGGATTGTTTCCCATACAAACTAGACCCTGCACATGTACAGATGAAGCTTCACTAACTTGTCCACCAATTGCATGGCCTGGTTCCTAATAGGATATGGACCAGTACCTAGCCTGGAGGGTTGGGGATCGGGGTTTGGGGATACCTGCAGTATAACAGCAGGATGAGAAAGCAATTGCATGTGTCGGTCGTACAGTATTATGCCAACAACAAAAATATTGTATTTGTCTATAAAACATCGTACTGGCAAGAAAGCAATACCTGGCAGAGAAGTATACCATTTTTATAACAATAGTTATAACTTTCAATTGTTCAAATTTGTATATTGTAATTTTAGACATATAGGTGAAGATTATATATGACTGATAAGGTTTGAAAAGCTGCAAAAGAATTATTAAATTAGAAAAAAACAATTCACTGTATATGTATCATACAGTGAAAAAATTTTATGGCTATAGTATTATTATTTATCCTTCTTATTATCTTCTTTACTCCCCCTTTTTTTGGTATTGTTGTTATTATTGTTATTATTATGATGATAATGATGTTGTTGTTGTTGATGATGATGATGACGATGATGATGATGATGATGATGATGATGATGATGATTTTATTGCTTTGCATTTACGCTGAGAGATTCTGCACAAATTCCTTGTGTGTTTAATCACACCTGGCCAAACAAGGTATTCAATTCAATGTTTGTTAAATGCATAAGTATGTCATGATGATTTTGGGAGCAGTATAATTATACCAGTATCAATATTATGTAGACCACTGCACGTGGTCTATTATATCAAGGTTTATTAAACAGAGTATTATGTAGTAACAGAGCTATCTAACAATCAAAGAAGGTCACCCAGGTTTTTAGCTTTATCTATGGTTCAAGAAATCATTCTTGGAGAAGGGTTACTTACATTTAAGTAGAGTAGATAACAATAATGCTCTAGAATATATAATTTGGTGCACTATCCGGTTTCCAGACTTTAGAAGAACATACCATGAAGAATATTCAATCATTGCAAAGTTCCTTAATTTTAAAAACTATGTTCTGCAGGCTCTTTTCAAAACAGAAAAGTCAAGGCATTTAAAAATGAAATAATTATCAATAATTATAATTTTATTGTGTATTATTGATAATTAGTTCATTTTTTAAAATGCCTTGATTTTAAAAGCACATAGATTTCAAATTAGATATAACTGGATTTTTTTCTATTACTTTTTGTAAGTTTATAATTATAGATTGATAAGTTTATAATTCATTATGACATTATGGAAATATAAAAGTACTTACATTCTGCATATTTTTGAAGCTGAGAAAACTCCGAAGGACTCAGATTAGCCCACTTCCCCTGGTCCATCATGACATTAAAATACAGTTTTACATTCCAAATAGTTGTAATGTTGAAATTTCAATTGGTCACCAACTTTTCAATCTAGTTTCTATATAAATTAGGTAGTTAAGAAGAAAAAAGTTTTTAGAACTATTGGATTGGTATTAAAAACAATATGAACAAGTCAATAATATCAGTATGGCAATGTATTAATTGTATTAATAACTAGATTCATCTAGTTTGGATTTTTGGATTTTCTGAATTATACGTGAAACTTTATTTCATGCATACAACACTCTTGTTTGTATAAATATATCCATTAATATGTATCTATACTTATATAAAGAGATGTTTATTTTTATTTACTATATTTTCATTTGCTACCGTTTCCCCCAAAATGAGACATCCCCTGATAATAAGCCCAATCGGGCTTTTGAGCGCATGGCAATAAGGCCAAGCACTTATTTCAGGGTTCAAAAAAAATATAAGACAGGTCTTATTTTCAGGAATACACGGTAGATTTCATAGGATCTATTGATATTGCAGTATCAAAAATAAGAACACATTACAATAACTAAATAAATATAATAAACTAACCACTACATCATATAGCAATAATAAAATTAGAACTACTATAAATACCCATCCAATGAGAAGATGACAACGCACAATGTTCTTCTAAATAGTTCTGTTTACAGGAGTTCCAGGAGTGACAACTAAGCACATCTCCAACAGAGCTGAGAAAACAATCTTGGCAAAGACTGAAGAACCAACAAGTGGAAACTTCTGGACAAGGAGAGGATGGGAGCTTACTGACATATGCTCTGAATGGCTGCTTTTCATAAGGAAATCATAGGACTGTGGTCTCCCACAGGTCTGAGTACTGGGAGATGAATGGATCAAGGCATCCTGATAGAGCCTTTTAAAGGAACCTTTGGTAACCTCAATTTCTAATCGATTTTGGAAATTGTCTATTTAACTACCATAATTGCTATTGGAAACTTTTAGAATGACAAGTTTGAAAACTCACCTAATTAGTTTACCTTCACACTTAAATAAACAAAAAATAATAATTGTTGAGTCTAAGAATTTAAAGAATTTGAAATAAAGGACAAAAAACCTTTCAGTCCCATACATTCCCCTTTTTGTTTTCCATGAAACCTTTGCTATGTTCCAGATTTTGATAGGAAATAAATGTAAGCTTTATTATGTTTATTTATGTTTTCTAATATAGTATGTCAATATTAGATATTACTAGATATAACTAGAAAATCTAAGAGGCATTGGGTCATAATTTCAGAGATATTTCCTTACTTAAATAGACAAACTAAATGATCATGAGCAGACAAATATCAATAGGATCAGGAGCAACTTCCAATCCTGAATCAGATGATTATGTCTGATCTTGGCAGTGCATCACAGCACAGCCAGAACTTACCCAAATTTCACTCCCATGGGATTTATAGGTTCCAGCATTCTGTAACTTAGATCATTTGAGGTGCCTAGTTTGAAATAACGTTGTTTCAGGAGGCAGCTTACATAATAACTCTCATAGTAAGGAAATTTCTCTGTATTTCAAATATGAATCTTTTTTGTAAACCTTTTATCCATTGGATATTGTCTAAACCATGGATGCTATGGAGAATAAATATACACTTTTTACCTTATAACAAGTATTCATATTTCCCTTAACATTCTCTTCTTTTAGCTAAACATTTAACCACTCATCATAGAACTTAGCCTCCTCTTATGTTGCCCTTTTCTGCATATTTTTCCAGGTTTCTCCATTTTATTTGGTTTTATGTCAACAAGAACTGGATGCAGCATCCTAGGTGCAGCCAGAACACTGCAGTATAGGATGATACTATCATCTCTGATGATCTTGACCAGGGGTATCAAATTCAAGGCCCATGGGCTGGATCCAGCTGATGGGATGCTTAGATCTGGCCAGCGTGCCCGCCCTGGAAACAGCGAAGGACCAGCCTAAGGTGCCTCTGTGAGCAAAAATGGAGCTTCTCCAAACTCCGTTTTTGCTGGCAGAGGGCTGCAGGAAGCCATCGCAGCCGAAAATGGAGCCTCGATAAATGACATCAAGATGGCCATGCCCACCCTGGCCATGCCCAGCCCCCAGCCCCCCCAAGGTCAAACCCAATCCTGATGCAGCCCTCAATGAAATCAAATTTGACACCCCTGATCTTGACAGTGTACTTCTGTTGATGCAACCCAAAAACTGCAACATTTTAGAAGCTGTGACATAGTGCTGGTTTATGCAAGACACTTGCATGACATGCAAATCCCTCCCACAAGTACTATTGCTAATATTCAGGTTCAAAATACTGAATAGACCCGGACCAGAGCATATATATATGTATATGTATATGTATATGTATATGTATATGTATATGTATATATATTTAATTTGATTTATATGCCGCCCTTCTCCGAAGATTCAGGGTGGCTTACAATGTGCTCAGCAATATTTATATTTATATCAACACTGATATTTAATGTAAAACTGTCAGGATAGAACAACATATTTTTGTATGATCTAGATCACAGGTGTCAAACTTGCAGCGTCACTTTGCTGTCACTTGATGTATTGGGAAGTTTTTTCTTCACTGAGCTAGGGTGGATGTGGCCTGTGTGTGATGCATCCGGCCCGTAGGCTGTCACTTGACATCCCTGTTCTAATTTGATACTGTTTTAAAAGATTAGTTCTGATATTGTTGTCTTTTCTTCAGCTTAAGTTTGCTTTATTATTGCTAAAATAATTATAATTTTTATTATGCCTATTATTAGTATTGCATTAATACTATTATATATTAATTCCTTTACTGTATATCATTTTTGTAATTTTCTGTTTATTATATATTGATTGCTGCATTTCACGAAAAATATCAAATATGCACAAACATAATTTGAATATATCAGAACTTTCCCATGTATGTTCCCCAGGAACTGATATTGATAATCACCAATTTGAAAGATTCTTTACACATATTTATCCTGGGAATATATTAGAAATAAAATTGGATTACGGCCCTATGCTCTGTTTGAAAGTGTGTTTCAAAAATAGAGCCAAACTGAGATAGTAATATAAACTGTGGGAATCTGTAGACATAGTAAGGAGCATATCATAAGGTTGCCTTCTGGTATCTGGTGAACAGCTGTTTTGTTAACCAGCTATTCCCATTTTATTGATCAATCTATAAAAATGCCTATAATATACTGTCAAAATTCTCAATGTGTCAGCCAGCCAGAAAAAAGGGGAAGATGGTTTCGAGATATTGAATAAAGGTGTTGGAAAACCAGATAAAAGTGATGAAATTCAATGGATCATTTTCAATTGCTCACCATTCATCAGGCCAAACTACTTTATAGGGTTATTGCAGAGCCTAAATAAAAATAAAATGAATTGTAAATGAAATAAAATAAAAGTTATTTTATTTAAATAAAATAAAATGTCCTTGTTTCCCAACATTAATAAAATTGATTTTAAAAAATGATAAAACATGCTGCAAAGCAAAATTTAATTTAATCCAATATTTTTTATATCTTCCTTAGAAAAAGCTAAAAATATTAATTTAAATTTGGATGGTTTATAAAGTATCATCCAAAATTTGAACTCTCAAAGTTTATCATTTGTTATCAGTTGGGAGCATCTTCTGGATAACAATTTAATGAAGACTTTTAGACTAACTGTTATAAGTGCATACTTAATCAGGAGGCTTTTACAAGTAGTTTCAAGGTGCTTGCTTTCAGAATTATAAATACTTTAATATAAAAAGACTGATTTAAAATATAAAGAAGCAAAATAATTCTATTTTTTATCTGTATGCATGGCTCTGGATAATTATGAAACCATATTCAGCATCATTAAAATGCTGCTCTTGAAGGAAAAATGTAGTCTCAGACATATCTCCTTTTTGGATACCCTAATTATATTTAACTTTTAATGCCAACAATAAATTTAGACAGCAGCTGTAACTTTTGATTGCATTTATTATAAAAGAAAAATTCACTGAAAAGAATGAGATTTACAGAAATATCACTATGCAACCCAGAGAGATTAAGCTGCTTTAAATCCATTTAAAATACATTCAGTAATTTCTACCAGTTGGAAACATCCATGGTGACATGGAAAGAGAATAGTTAAACATCCTCCTATAGAGAATTCACTTTCCTAACTAGTAATAAAGCAAACTCCATCTACAGATTTGCTTTAATAGAGAACAAAAAGTAGCTCTATGTGTCCTTTTACAAAGCCTGCAAATATCAAGTTGTTAAAAGCATCAGGCTAGAAACTGTGAGACTGAGAGTTCTAGTCCCGCCTTATGAACGAAGTCAGCTGGGTTTCTTCTAGTTAATCACTTTCTCTCAGCCCTGGGAAGCAGGCAATGGAAACTGTTTCTGTAAAATTGACCAAGAAAACTGCAAGAACTTTCCAGGCAGTCTCTGACAATTGAACATGACTAAATGAAACAAAACAAAACTCTGTCCCTTTATAACCAACCAAACTATTTCTGAATAATTAGTGCATGATTATTATGTTATATGGTTTCATGGTGCCTATAATCAACTCTACCCCCTATATATTGTATTACTCATTCTTTCTTCAAAGTAGTGGTATACATCTGAAAAACAAAGGGATTAATAACAAAATGACAGAGTTGGAGATCTTCTAGGGCAACCACCCACTCAAGCAGGAGACCCTATAACATTTCAGACCAATGATTGTCCAATCTCTTCTTAAAAACCTCCAGTATTGGAGCATTCACAACTTCTGGAGGCAAGTCATTTCATTGATTAATTGTTCTGTCAGAAAATCTTTCCTTAATTCTAAGTTGGTTCTCTCCTTTATTAGTTTTTATCCATTATTGTTGTCCTACCTTCAGGTTCTTTGGAGAATAGGTTGACCCGCTGTTCTTTACAGCAGCTCTTAGAAGTTGGAACACAACTACACAACTGTCACTACTGCTACTCTTTTAATGAAGCTAGATCTACCCAATTCCTGCAAATATTCTTCATGTTTTAGCCTTCAGTTCCCTAATCATCTTTGTTGCTGTTCTCTACACTCTGCACTCTTCTAGAGTCTCAATTAATTGGTTT